AAAAGTTAGGTGTTGGTGTCTAGACTTCATTGCTGGGTTGCTCGCATTAATAAGTCGGGATCTCGAGATAATAAGTCGGGATCTCGCGATAATAAGTCGGGATCTCGCGATAATAAGTCGGGATCTCGAGATCTCGACTTAGTTTCTCGGGATCTCGCGATAATAAGTCGGGATTTCTTTCCTTTTTTTTTCCTCCATGTCCCCTTAGGGGCTCCGTATTAAAGTGCTCTTATCTGTGCGGTGTGTTGCAAAATCTTTGTTTTCGTGTGTTCTGAAAACGACGCTCAGGCTCACCGGTGAGACGGACAAAGCGACGGACGCGTGTTTTGTCAGGGCGCCTGCCGGAGCCCTGACATGCGAGGCGGCCGACACCCTGAGCTGCCTGATGGCGGGCGGCTCGGAGGAGCTCGTCAGCAGAGTGATTCGTGTCAAAGTTCGGGACGGAGACGGCTTCCGCTTCCCCGTCACCGTGGCCGTGCCCTTCTGCGTGCGCCATCGCAGCGGCCACAGAGAGGTTGCGGTGAAGGTCGTTGACGAGGAGGAGAGAGTCAGCTACATCGCCCCGGCGACGACGGAGGAAGTGCATGGAGGCCAAAAGGTGTTGCTTTTTTTTTTTTTTCCCTGCTGGCGTAGACAGTTTCCTGTTTAGCTTCCTACTAAATAGAAAACAATTGTTTGACATCAAATGTGATAAGGCTTTTCCTATTTTGGTTCAGTCCGAAATGACTACTCAAACACTTATTTATAACACTTTATTCCAAGTTGGAATTTTACACACATTCCTTTGTATTTGATGGGGCTACTACTAAAATGTACGAGTTGTAAAAAAAGGTATTTGTCCACCTTGTCAACATACACCTTTTCTGATCTGCCTACAAATAATTTAAGATCTCAGGGCTTTTTTTTATTGTCACTTTGCAATTCTCATCTTTGTTGTCATTAAGTTAATTTGAGTGTATTTTGCTGAGGGTGATTTTTTTATGTTTATATTTTGAAGATCTGTGTGTGTGCCCAAGATTGCTGACATCTTAAGATGTCACTTCGGAGCTTCCACGTGATTTTATTTCGTTTGGTAACCAGCATAACTCCGCTTAACAAAAGAAAAAGTTATATTTAGCAAAGTTACAGCTAATTTACAGCAAGGCAGCTACTTCACAGAGCCCCAACCACTGTTTACAAAGATTTAGCTTGCAAAATACACAAAACGGACATGTGCAAGTTGATTGATGGATAACTTTATCAATATACTATTATTTCATGAAATGCAAACTAAATATGATGCCTTTCCACTGCAGTGATATGTTGTGTTTATGTTGTAATTTCCCTACAGCTGTATACCTTTTCTTTTTTATTTTTTACTTTATCTTACTACTTAATGCAATGAAAATAATAATTATATATATATATATATATATATATATATATATATATATATATATATATATATGTTTTATATACTTTACAGGGTTGCTTTGCAGAGGTGAAGGTGTACTCCTTGGGCATATTTGCTGTAGTTTCACGTCCAAAAAGAGAAATGTACAACGTTCCCAGGAAGGGGTTGTCACTAAAAATCCCCATGGACCCTCGGATCTGTCTGGACTACCTCCCAGGATCCTTCACTGCTCCAGTAATGGCCCAAACAATGGTATGGAGAGAATAAGCTGATCACCAAACCTTCTTTTGTAGAGTGGGAGGCCTGACCGAGTGCATTAACACATAAACAGATTGTTCTGAAATGGTTGAAACATTTTGAAATTCAGAGTAGAGAGGAGGAAGAAAGACGGGCAGCTTGCAGTTCAAGAGATATGCTGTCGCAGATGTTTGCTGTGCAGAAAGAGAACAAGAACAGCTGCACGGCGCATTTCAATGTACACGCGAGTCCAAACATTCCCGAACTGACGTCGCTGCAGCAGTTTGCTGCTTGATCTCGCGTCAAGAAACATCAGCTCCCACCCTGCTCGGCTCCGCGTTGATTAAGCAACCTGCTGTCGGCGAAATTAAAGCGTCAGGAGAAACGTGTCCTCATATCATTCAGCGTCTCCGTCCGAGTCGTGCCAAACAGATGTTTGCTCATCTGTCTCAGGTCCAGCCGGTGGACGCCGTCCTTCTGGCGGCCGTCAAGTCCAGGAACGACGCCTACGAGTCGGTGGTGTCAGCCAGCCCGCTGCTCCACCTCACCCACCCTAAGTCGCAGCCACTTAGGAGACCCCTCACGATTACGCTTCCGTGTCCGCCAAGCTATGAGAAAAAGGAGGGAAAAAGGAGGAAGGAAAGAAAAGCACACCAGGTTGGGGCTCCTGGTGATCCCTCGATTCCCTCGGGCAAAACAAGGTGGGTCAAAAGTGCAGGAACAGTAAGTCGTCTTTGTCGTTTCTTAGTCTCGTTGCTAAGCTGGTTTTGTCTTCCGTGTCTCTATCAGAATCCTTGGTGCTTATCTGAGATCTAACGAGACGTCCAACGAGTTGCTGGTTGTTCTCGGCTCAAGAGACAAACAGTGGACTGTCCTTGAGAAAATAGTCACCAGGAACCAAAAGAACGGACTGGTGTCCTTTGATCTGATAGAAAACTTTGACAGGTTAGTAAAACGACATCCTGGTTATTTTTTAGTTATTTAATTTGCTTATTTGAGCTGCGTGGTGGCACATTGGTTCAGTCAGGTCTTTGTTTTTTGCAAGGCGTTCACCTGTTCTCCTGATGGAGGCGTGGGTTCTGCCCAGCTACCCCAGATTCCTAAGATAAGCGGCTACAGACAATCGTTGGATGGTTGAACGGATGTTTTGCTTTTCTGAAGAGAGAAAACAAACAGAATTTAGATGTAAGCTGGAACGTATATGCTGAGAAAACATTAATTGTCCGAAGTGAGACAGTTAAATTTCCTTATTCAAGAATGGCAGGAAGTGCTCTTCGCATACAGTAATCCTTACGAACAAGTTTCAACCGTCAAGCTGTTGATTTCATCCAAATTCAAATAACTTGGTGGCAGTATTTCTTTCTGTAGTATATGTAATACCATAAACCCATTGACATCCAAAAAAAGCCCACCAGGGAAAGTCAGAGCAGTTTTCTAAGTATTGAGATTCTCACAATGACTTCCTCCAAACACTATTGCTCATTGTTGCCAAGTCAATAACACAAATCAGCAAAGTTCCTGCTGTCAGATGTGGACAAGCTTCACCACGGACACAGTTTCATGTCGTCTTCATCCACCCACCCAGCAAATTATGTTTGCTAGAAACAGTGTAGGGAAACGCTTTAAGGAGCTGAAATAACCTTGTATCTTTCACCACATCTCTCTGTGTGTTTCTGCAGAAGTCGGTCGGTAGTGCTAGCTGATTTGTACAGCTAACACTACAGCTAAGCATCATCTTGCTTCCCCTTCCTCACTTTTACAGTGTCTGTGTGAAGTTATGCTCACTGCGAAGGAAGATGATGTAACTTCTTGTACCTGAACCGAGAATTGAGTACCAGAAAATGTTTGCATGCGACGCTTAAAAAAACCCGAAGTGAAACCGCAGTGGGAGTATTAGTGAAGTTGGTTGTACTTCAGTGAGTTTTCAGACCCGTTCTTTAGAGGCAATGACAGATGGAGAAGTTTTTCACCAATCGGTAATTGGTGAAGATCAACACAAGCTGCTCATGACAGTATATCAAGCAGGGTGGTGCAGTGGGTTTTGCAACCACTGGACCTGGGCCTGATCTAAAGTGGACCCAGTAAAATGTCTACAACACAATGGCTGAGAAGCGAAATGTTGAGCTGCTTCCGTGGTTCAGACTATTTACCTGATTATTTGTTTTAGTGCTGCTTTCAGATGCATAAATTAATGCCCCAAACTTAACTTAAGTGATGTGTCATTAAGAGGTAATGCTATGAGGAACCGATAAACAAATATCAGAGAGGAACTACTTCAAGCTACCTCTGTTGAACTAAAGCTACCAAGTCATAAATATCCTTTTTAAACACCACAAAAATTTTTAACAAGTAACTCTGTCCAAATCTAGCAAGAAATAAAGACTTTAATCACTGCTCTGATACTGGTTCAAAATGTCACGTGAAGTTATCAAAGCACCAGTTATAAAAATGCAGCAGAATACTTCACGGCAATTGCAGACAGAAGTGGATAAATCATGAAAAATTTTTTTTTTGCACACGATTCTTCCACAGCTGGACGGACAATGTGGCTTCAAACATTGTCACTCTATTTTAATCTGTTTTTCATATTTCACCACAAGTTGAAATGGCACATCATAATAAACGTCATCACTAACTAATGTTCTTAAATGCCGCAAACGTTTGCACTAAAAAAACCTAACTTTTTGCATCGTTTAAGAGTTAAGAGAATATGTTTCAGTGCAACATAAAATAATACAAATCAAACTTGCACAATAGACTGCTTGTAGATTAAATTATGATTACCAGCTTTATTGTTCCTTCGTTCCTCATTCTGTTCCTCATTGTGAATCGTTTCATTGACTACTTCCACTTCATTATGGTTTTGTTGCTCTGATCACTTTTAGTCATGAGTAAATCAGTAACCCCTGAACATTACAGTTAAATAAAGCTTACCTTCACCTGGTTTAAAGCGCTTCTATGTTGGGTTTGTGTTGCTTGAATTTCTTTGGGAAGTACTTGGAAACAAAAAAAATAAAAAAACAGAAAATTGAAACCAGTCTTCTCCAGTTGATCGCTGAAAACGACGTTACAAGTGACAAAACCAGCTTTAAGAAGTGATTTTAATTGTTCCCCCCTAAAACTCTTTGTTCTTCTTATCTAAATCAAGCTTAGTGGGGAATAATATATGCACGTTAGGTTATATAATTCCCTTAGCTTCCCCATGAATACATTATTTCTGACTTCCTGATAACAGGCCCTTTTCACTCAGCGGTAATCCAGTCTCTTTTAATGAAGTTAAACTTCTCACGTTTCTATCTGTGCCTCTTCACACCAGACTCCTCGCAGTTCGTCTCCTGTCACCACTGCAGCCTTGCCGCCTCATTGCGCTGGCCGAGGAGCTGGAGGCCTCGGCCTGCCGCCACCCGGTGACCGTCGTCCTCCGGCGTGGGCGGGGCGACCCTCACGCCGTCCTCCTGGCGGCGTTGCCTAGCAGAGACCTCGACTGGGAGCTGAACAGACTGCGGGCGGCCGGTGGCGCCGTGGAGACCTCCTCTGAGATCTCCCTGTGTGAAGGAGATCAGCTCCTCCTGCGCTTCAGTGGAAACATCACATCCACAGGTGGGAGCCCGGCCAGAATCGCACGCCTGCTGGCCTTTACGTGTCCAATAACAACACAAGGGACTGTTCAGAGAGCTTCAAATCAGGTACGATCATAGAATGTTTAGGAGAGATCAACGTCTACGGGTTGTTCTTACTGGTCTCTGGAGAGGATAGTGGTAAGGACACCCTACACTCTTAATGGCTAGTATTACCTTCATTAGCTAAAAAAAAATACTTCACAGATACTTCCTTTATCTACCAGTCTTTGGTATCGCTGTGAGGAAGTTTGCCCCGATCTAAACAACATTACTCCAGAGGTTCTGGGCCTGTTGGCATTTGTTGTTTAAAGTCTCACCCTTGCTCACTGCTTTCCGAACAATTCAGCGACTGATTTCAAATGTTCTCACCGCCCTTACTCTTAACCTGATCCATGTCTTATCTTATCAGTGTGTGGGCATCACATTTCCAGGCTAAACATCAGTTTGGTTAGCTCAGTCAAAACTGATGCAACTATCCTAAAAGGCTTCAACACTGGGAATGTGATGTTTTCATTTTGGGTGAGAGAAGTTGCTTTTACATCCCATGACCTAAAGATGCGGTTTAAAGCGATTATATTCCCTTTTCGTCATACTGCTTTACGCGTCAAGGCAAACATAAGAAGGTCCTCCAATTATGAAAATCTCTTCAAATGTGAACAACAGTTGTAGCAGAGCTTGGCTAAATCAACATAGGCATGCAGGAAATGAAAGCTTTCAGAAACCTTTATAACCAAAAACTAAAAGGGGTGAAGACACAGGAAGTTCAACACAAAAACGTAACAACCCAAAGGCAGAAAAACAACACAGATCCCCAGAAGAACAGAGGAACTGAAAATGGGCTAAACCCAACATAGGCTATTTATAAATAATGATGGAAGATGGTGGAAAGTGAGTGGTAATTTATAGACAAGCCTTCACGGGCCACAGAGAGTATCTAGAAACAAATGTCGTAAAACACATAAGTTCCAGCCGGTAAAGTGAGATTAAAAGAAATCCTTTGCTTTATAGTAGAAGCTTTTAAATGCAACATTTCACAGGGGATTGAGGGGGGAATATTCTTGTACAATTTTGTGATTTTTGCACATGTGCACTCTGCAGCCTTCACACAGAGCAACACGAGTGAGGAGTCACACGAGCGGCTGACCTTTCACTGTCAGCGGAGGAATGAGCTGTTAGTGCGCCTAACCGAAGTGGACCCGTTTGGGAATTACAGCTCGCCTTGCTACAAGGGCACGGCCCTGTTTTATAGAGTCACCAGAGCTGAGCTGGAGCGGAGAGGGGACAAAGCTGTTCCGAAGGATGCAAAGCTCCTGGCAGACCCAGTTTGTAAGCTGCCTCTGAGTTTACCAAAGGTGCAGAAGTCTCGGTAGACATCTTTTTCATTTAGGCAAAAAGACCTTTAAGATCTTTCAACACGTTAAATTTGTGTGATTCCAGAAAGCGAGAGTCATCCATCGGCCGGTTGCCGCCAGAGTGAAGATATCCGAGGAGGCAGGTGGGTGACTCAGTCTGTTGGTGCTGCTCTCGGGTGCATTGCTGAAGTATTTTTACCTCAAGAATTTTTTTTTTTCACATTTTATTAAAATTATATGTTGTGGAGCCAGGGCTGGCCCAGGGAATCTGCGAGTTACGCAGCTGCTTAAGGACCGCCACGCCACCGGGGGGCCCTAGAGATCACCATGATGAAAGAAAAATATTTAAAATGACACTGAATAATACAAACTAAATTATATTGCACGTGGAAAAACTATTAGAATTCTGTATTATTTTTATACTCAACAAAAATATAAACATGCCATGTCAAATATTGTTGCCATGTGGAGTTAGCAACTGTAAATTAGCACTTGTTGACATTTTATTGTAAAAAAGTAATATTTCTCTTGATTGGTGTACAATTATTTAGTCCAACTTGCTGTTATTGAGCATTACCCAGTGAGTTGTTCTTTTACTCAGTGCATGGGTGGGGCATGTCCTTTATAACATGACAAAATGTGGAAAAGTTGAAGAGGACTGTCTAAACAATTTTTTTAAAATGGTGTCTGTTGCTGTTTTAAAACCTATCAGAGCCTCTCTCGGACGCCCTTCTCCTCTGGCTGTCTGGGGAGCTGTCTCCGGAGGAGACGTCTCTGCTGGTGTCTTCCCTGCGTCTCAGTCGCAGCGCAGCCCGGCTGGTGAAGCTCCGCTCCAGGGACAGTCCGTCAGAACAGGCCTTTCGCGTCCTGGCCATGTGGAGGCGAGCGCTGCCTGCCGTCACATGCCACCCGAAGGCCTCCCAACTCGCTGGGAGCCTGGGCAGAATAGGCAGACCGGATCTGGCCCGAGAGGTGCTGCTGCGAGAGGCAGAACTTTCTGAAAGCAAGAAATTTTAGAAAGTGAAAAAAAAAAAATGGGGGGGAAAAACATCACACCGGCTTAATTTTAGGAGCATGATGTAGTAATCGGTTTATTCCACAAGAGGACAGTGTTGCACAGAGAGACAATATTGTGGAAAGAGGAAAGAGGTTCCTCTTTTGATTTGGGGAGCAGCTTTTGTAGTAAATGCAATCTAGATATTTAATTTTTAATCAACAAAAGAAATGATTGTGAGATTTCAGCTAATTGCCCCGTACACCTCTCCCCATCATGTCTCAGGGACTTTCAGACAATATGGAGGACCTGATCAGTCAAACGGTGTAGTGGGATATTATTGGAACAATCCTTTATGCATTATTCCTGCAGTTCTTTGATTTGTTTTACTTTATGTTTATAGAGCAAAGAATTTCAGCTGGATTGAAGTCTGACCAAGCTTTTTTTTTTTTTTTTTTTTTTTTTGATTATCTTTAGCAACACTGTCTTAAGTTAGCATCTGTGCTGGGGTTTGTTGTTTTGTTTCATATGTCAGAGTCTGCAAAGCTAAGAGTTCAAGGGTGTTTGGTTAAAAAAAAAGAAAAAAAAAGAAAAAAAAAGAAAAGCATCTTTATTAAACATCAACACTGGACTGTAGGGGCGGCAGCATCTAATGACAACATGTACCAAGTAACATAAAGGTCGTACAAGGGTTTGGTTTTTGTAATTTTAAGACCACTAGCAGATTTTTATGTCCTAATACGTAAATCTTCTGTCTGAAAGTCGGTGTATGTTCATCCCAACTTGTGTGTTTTTTTTTTTTTTTAGCATAACTAATATAAAAAAAAGGAAATCTACAAAATAAATTTAGGATTATCTTATTTATTCGTCAGAAATCCTTTTTTTAATTATTATTATTATTTATTATTCAAAACTCTTCATTTTTATCTGTGAAAGAGACCAAAATTCTCACTTTGCTCAGAAGTCTGTCTTGAGCGACAGAAGAGAGAGATTTAGTGGACCAGTCTTCCATCGTCTCTCTCATAAACAACTCTGAGTCGTGACCTCTTCTCAGCTCCTTGACACGGAGTCGTTTTTTAAAACTTGACAGCACTTGTTGAGATGTGATTAGAAAACAAAGGCCTATCCCTCAGCTTGCTGTTTTCACATACATGCGTATAATTGAAGTAGTTGAGATCTGGCTCACATTTGACGATATTTACTGATTTTTCCGCTTGATTGAGTGACAGTTGCTCAAATCCTATTGCTGTGTAATCATTTGAACTTTGGTGCATGTTACCAGAAAGAACCATGCATGCAAAATCTATAATGTGTGTTTTTTTGTTTCATTTATATCTATGGGCCCGTCACACTGAAGTTCTTAAAAGCCTAATATGTTTGATGTCTGTCAGCTGATGTGTTTCAGATAAACAAGGCTAGAAATCTCAGTGTTTGATCAGGATGATCATAGGGTGAAAACAAACAAGTAATACTGATAAGAGTCGATCTAAAAACACCTATCGATGCTTTTCATGTTTTACTTGATCAAAGTGGCGTAAGCTGGGGCATCATCTTTGGATTTTACAACGTAGAGTAACACTGCCACTGATGGGGCACTTGTCTTTGTGGAAACTTATTTTGGTTCTCTTATAAGTAAGACTGAAATGTAAGCATATGTTTTCCTGGTACGAGGGATTGCTTCAAAGTCAATTACTCGATTAAACCAGTTGGTCTTCCTTGGATGGATAACTATTTACACATAGGCATAGTATAATCAGTAGTATAGGATTGAATTGTATGACGTGGCAGCTAAACTACTCAGAAATAGGTCAGACTTCTCTTTTGTTTCAAGCATATAGCATGCTGAGGCAGTTAAATGTTCATCAGTGCAGACAGAGCTGCTGCTTAGCGTGACATGAGGTTCCTCCGGGCGCAAATTCGCAACAAATGTCTGGAGGCACTTTGCAAAAACATCATTTCAATTCAATTGTACATGCATTCCGACTGATCTGAGATATCAAAAAGTGCATTATGCTCAACTACTTATTCAAAGTAGCAGTGGTTTAGTTCAACTTTAAGTGGCACGGACGGATCAATTCCATATGTTTACTTTTATCTGAACAAATCGAGCGGATTTTCAGATTTACAGTCCAAGAACGCCTCTTTCTTAACTACCGCTTTAAAACAAACACTAGACGCACAGAAATAGCAGCGTTTTGTAAACGAATGCCGTAAACAATAATGCCCGATAATCTTTTATGTGTGCCATCGCACAGCTGGGAAACGGCCCTTGTAATGAGATATTTACTTGTGCTTCAAATGAAAACGTAATTGTCGGCTGCAGCTGGTTTCCACAGGGTCTCGGCGAATTGCCTGCAGTATCTAAAACTGCTCCAGCTCCGGCTTTTTCAAGGCGCTCACAGGAGCTTTTCCTGTTTCATATGACTTCAGAGCCTCACAGTCCAGCTGTGTGACATTCTGCAGGCCCTGAGCTTAAGGCAGGGAGCTAATGATAGACGCTGGGAGCCCAGGTGGGGGGTTGGTGGGGTTCTCCGGAGGAGAGACGAAGCCACCCCGGGCCGCCGATACTGGGGGGGATGAGGAGGGGGGTAAGGTTAATGACGTAAAAAAGAGTAAAGGAGGAGTTGATGGATTAAACGTATCGATCCCTTCTTTTTAATTATTAAAGCTTCTTTTCCCCTTGCATAGCTGTTGTAGCGTTTCTCAACTCCACACGTACTCTAAAGTGGTAATATCTCCGTCGTAGTTCGTTGCAAAACTCCCCTTTCCCTCCTTCCCTCCATTCGGTGAGATTCTAAACGATGTGACTGGCAGGAGAGAGTTTTGTCCTCCGAGTCAGCGAGCCGGAGGGAGGTATCATTAGCCTGGCTTTAGGGCCGTCTAACATGCACAGAGAGAGAGAGAGAGACGCACACGCTGACAACCCAAGAGGTAAATGTCACACTGGGGGGGGAGGGGGCTCCTGCTGGGCCAAGAAATCGTTTCCTCCCTCATTTTATCTCTCTTCTCTTCTCCCCCCCGGCCCCCCAGCCCCCTTCCTACATTATTGAAAAGGCCACGCAGCCAGTCACTCTGGGAGGGTACAGCCGCCGTCCAGCAGCGGCGGAAACAGAGGGTTGATGAGGCAATGGAGAAGGGTGCAATCAGAAGAAGATGCTGAAAGATACCTCGTCTGTTTCGTCATGCATTTCATCACCTTTTTCCTTCTGTTTTCCTTTTTTTTTTTTTTTTTTTTTTTTTTTGAGGAGGGGCGGGGGAGGCGTGAGTCGACGTCCCTTCGATCAGCTGCTGATTTCAGAATGAAGCAGTTTGATGTGGTCCAGATGCAGCGTACTCAGTTAGGAACGATGATGTGCAACGAGAACAAACAGACCGCAGCACGTTTTTTTTTTTTTTTGGAAATAATACTGTATTTCCTGTCAGCCATTAATGGGTGAAATATGCTTTATATCTCTAAGGCTTGTTTAATTATCCAGGCTTTTTGAAAACTCACTAAATTTAGCACAATTTATTCTAGATGGAGGTCTCAAGCCTGGTTGGTTTTGTTAACGGTTTCTAAGCAACACACTCGAAAGTTTCTCCAAACAAAAAAAACAACAAGCCATGTTGCAGTTCTCTCCTTTAACATATTATTTCGTGGACATTTGCATTTAAAATTCTAGAACAAGAAAGGAAATATCAAAACAGGAAAAAAAAAAAGGTGAGCTAGTAAATATTGTTAGTATAGCTTAGCTTAGCATAAAGCTAGAAGAGAAAATAGATTCGACATAAAACGTATTACAATACATACAGTACATAATATGTTTTCTGGTTTAGAAACAACATCTAAAATAATTTATGTGCTTTGTGTGAACACTGCATGATTTCTATATCTCAGCTTCACCGTTCGCAACATCGTTTTGCGAAGTCCTCCGTTGGCATTCGCGTGTGGAAGTCCAGGTCGACTGTCTAGACTTACATTTTCTTGTTGGTTTTTGCAGCTTAGTGACACAGTAACTCGCTAAATTATTTATATACCATTTGAGGCACATCCCTACCAGCTTTCCTCATCTAGAAACAGAATATTTTGCCCCTTCTTCTCCGCAGAATAGGTCAAGATCGGACTGGATGTAGAACATCAATTTTTAAGTCTTGCCACAAATATTGGGAGTTTTATCTCCTCTCAAGTCTTTCGCAGCTTCTCACTGATTTATTTTCATTTTTTCCTTCAGGGAATGCCTTGTATTTAGCTAAATTCATCTTCCCTGTCGAGCTCATCTGTTCTTGCAAATGTAAAGGATTCCCGCAGACCGATGCTTGATGTGGGTATGGTATGTGGAGCGTTCTGCTGCTGGTGCATTATTTATTTATTCCCCCCGTCCCCCAAGACTGACAATGCATTTGACCTAATGTCTTTAAAAAGAGGAGGCAGTAGATTTTATTCTATACATTAAAAAAAAAGAAAATGTGTCCAAAGTTTAAAGAGCTGGACCTCGTCTGAGTAATAAGTGAGAAAATACTGGCATTACGAACTAGAAATGCATTTATTTACATACTTATTTTGAAATGATAATGTCTGGCGTTCACAAAAGTCCCACAGTGTACCGTTTGGGAAACACTGGCCTAATTAGTTAGAGTTGAGGAGAGAACTTTACTGCAAACGAGATGCAAAACAGAAAGTAGCTGCAGAGATTTTTTATTTATTTATTTTATTCTTTCTTTTCCGGGGGAATTTAGGCCACAGTCCTGAACAAGCTGCAGAAGATTGACGCATGTCAGCAGCGCCGCAGCCTCCTTCCAGATCTAAGCTAATTGAAAGCCATTCATGCAGCATGAATGGCACAAATGAAACCGAGTGGGCAACGCTTTTGGAGTTTGGAACCAGAACAGAAAGGAAGTTATGTACGATTTGAGGCAATGCCAAGCCTATTGGATGGAGGTTTTTAAAAACTCAGCCAATGATTTTTCAAGGGAATTTTTTTTTTTTTTTCAGGGGTTTTAAGCAGAGCCATTGCTGCAGGGTTTTAACATAGGCATAAAAATATGCATCATATTTATCCATGCTAAATCATCAAATATAAAAAGGTACAAAACATCAATTCCTGCTATGCCTCTTTGTCCTTGTTGACCATTTTCTGGTTAAAAAAAAAAAAAAAAAAAAATAAATTGGTATTGTTTACTGTGTAAACTCTCCACTCATATTTGAGATGTTGTGATATGGAGCAATAACAAAAAAAAAAAAAAAACAAGGTGAAGAAAAAGAGTGGGATGATGGAGAGAGAAGCAGGGGTTGAAGAGGAGCCAGGCGAGTGACGGAGGAGCGAATAAACAGGAGAAAGGCCACGAGGGAATGAAGGAGGAAGGTGTGACACGATGGGAAATGGTGAAGCGTGTGGGTTAGAGAGAGAGAGAGAGAGAGAGTAGTAACACTGTGCCCGTCGGCGTGTGAAGCTGCCGGACGGGACGTTAGCGGTGTCTACGTGTTCCGCGAGAGCGAGCACGAGACGGGGAGAGACGAGGAAACCCGGCTTAATTTCTTTCTCTCGCACTCAGAGACGTGTCTGGTTTCACCGAGAGGACCCTCCGAGGCTGAGCGGGTCAGAACGGGGGCACAGCCGCCGCTGCCAGTGACG